ATTTTTCAATATGGGATGATTTTTCTTGGTATCATTTATTGAAAAGTCTGTCCTTCCAACTACTGCTACCACTACTGCCATATGTCAGTCCCATATATACAGACATGGATAACTGTGGTAGTTTGGAAGAAAAATGTCCCCCATAGTCTTAAGAACTTTAACACTTGGTCCTCAGCTGGTGGCACTGTCTACGAGGTTTAGGGACTGTGGCCTTGCCGGAGGAAATACATCACTGCTGGGATGGGTTCAAGAGTAAAAGCTTCAGGTCACTTACAGCTTAGACTTTCTGCTTGACACTGTGGTCGAGGAAACCTCAGTTTCCTGTTCTGGTTGCCATGCCTGCTGTCTGCTGCCATACTTTCCTGCCATGATGGACTCTTATCTCTTCGAGCTGTAAGCCAAATAAACTCTTCTATATTCAAGCTGCCTTGGCCATGGTGTTTTATCACAGCCACAGAAAGTAACCGATGTGGTAACCTGAATTCATCTGCTCTCCTATAAGCAACCTCGCCAACACCCACTACGCTTGGCATGTGAGGCCGAACCCACTGACAAGGAGAGCCTGAGGAGCAGCAGCTGTAGCATCAATCACCCCATCTTCCGAGAAGGTTCGAAGGTCAGTGCTATCTGCCCCCCAAATCCTCAGCACTGGCCTCCTTGTCCCAACACATTCCCTTCCCTTACTTTCCCACAACTTTCTCCATTCCAATTTCTTCTTCTTTCTCCCCTCAGAGCACCTTCACAATCACATTTGATGTCTCTTACAAGGCCTTCCTGGGAGATAGGTTGCTTATGAGAGCCAATGCAAGCAGGTGAGCCCAGGCGAGCTATGGTGTGGCTCCTCCTCCAATCTTACACCCCAGCTCAGTATTATTTTCCCGGATTCCTTCACAAAGGTCTTCCACTCTTTTCCTCTAGTGAGAACAATAAGCCTGGAACCAACAAGACTGCCTTCCAGCTGGGACTCCCAGTGAAATACACTGTGTATACAGTGATCCTCAGGTACTAAATCCTTAACCTTTCCCTTGGCCCTTCCACCTTCCTTTAAGCCCAGTACTTCTTACTCAACTGGTTCTCCTTGTAATGAGAGTCTGAATCAGCCTGTTTTATGGTAGTTGGCTGAGGCAGGATCCTACAAAGAAAAGCTGTATAATTCTCCCATAAAAGGGCCTGCCGCCAGGACGTGCACGCCTCTTCACCGTAGTTAACCTCTTCTTCCTCAGTATTCAATCTTCCTATCACACAGACCTTTCCTTGGTGCTAGACATGAGCAAGCCAAGTGAAGCTACTAGATTGAGGTCAAGACTTTTCTGGGCATTGTGTACTGGGAGCTTGCCCTAGCAGGACAGGTCTGTCATCACACAGAGGCCAGACAAGGTCAGAGGAGGGTGGAGCTGGCCTGACAGACCAGTGTAAAGCTGCTGCTATGGGTTTTGAAGGTGAGTAGGTGAGCAGGGGCAGGGCAGGCTGGAAGCAAACAAGGGGCTGTACTCCATCCAGGTGGCGGAGAACTGTGTGGAAGCCGTGAGAATACCCTGGACAGGGCTTGGGGCTGTGGCTGCTGAGTATTGTCAACGACATGACCCCATGCACTGCGTGCCTGAGTTTCCTCTTTTATTCCCTAGGAAAGCACTTACAACACAGCTTATAGTT